TTTTTTGGTTTTTTTTCGAGACAGGGTTTCTCTGTGTAGCTTTGCGCCTTTCCTGGAACTCACTTGGTAGCCCAGGCTAGCCTCGAACTCACAAAGATCCGCCTGGCTCTGTGTATATGGATGTTTTGCCTGCATGTATGGATGTGAACCTTGTGTAAGCCTGCTGCCCTCAGAGCTCAGAAGATGGCATCAGATCTCCTAAAACAGGAGTTTCCTGTGGTTCTGAGCCATGGTATAGGTAGCTCCAGTTCCATGGGAATTGACATTCTTTTATGGCTTCTATGGCACCAGGCACACATGTGGTATACAGGCAAACACTCATACACACAAAATTAAAATAAATATCTTGTTAAAAAAAGAAACGATCAATATTTTCCAAAATGCCTACACCACTTTGTTTTTAATCAGAACATATGAGAGATCTGAGTCGGCATTTTTGCCAACCCAGCATTTATTATTTTATTCTTACCTGATTAGTGTGTAAAGACAAAACCCTGAGATCTTACGGATATTTCCCAAACTGTTCATGATGTTGGGCCTCTTCTGATTTCCCCTGGTATATTCTCATCAGTGGGTCTTTCGCCCATTTTCTAACGGGTCATTGTTGTTTCAACAGTGAGAGTTATTGGTGTGCTCTCAGTTTGAGGATATTGCCACATATGTGGCTGGCTGTTCTTTCTCAGTCTGTGGCCTGTCTTTTGATCTACCTAACAGAGTCTTTCTAGAACAAATTTTTAATTTGGATGAACTACAACCAATCATTTTTCATTTATGGGTTGTGCTTTTGATGTCAAGCCTAAGAATTCTTTACATTGTAGAACTACTCTTTTTTTGTTTTTGTTTTCCTAAAATTTTTTTTTTTTTTATAATTTTGTGTTTTGCTTTAAATCTATGATCCATTTTGAGTTTGTTATTATACAACAGTCTAAAATTTAGGTAAATAGTCACTTTCTTACCTATGGTGATTTAAGTTTTTCAGCATCATTTTTTTTTAAATTTCTTTTTCCTTTAAATTAACTAAGTTACCACACAAAGTAATGGGTTTCACTGTGGTATTTTCTCGTGTGTGTGTGTGTGTGTGTGTGTGTGTGTGTGTGTGTGTACACTTTCCTATCTACTGTGAAGAAACATCATAATTAAGGCAACTTATAAAGAAAGCTTTTGGTTGGGGGCTTGCTTACAGTTTCAGAGGGACAGTGCATGAGCATCCGGCAGAGAGCAGGCAGGCAGGCAGCAGGCAGCAGGCAGGCAGGCAGGCAGCAGGCAGGCAGGCAGCAGGCAGCAGGCAGGCAGCAGGCAGCAGGCAGCAGGCAGCAGGCAGCAGGCAGCAGGCAGCAGGCAGCAGGCAGGCACTGGAGCCCCATCTAACAGCTACATCCTGATCCTCCAGTTGGAGACAAACAGAGAGAGACAGGGCCTGGTGTGGGCTTCCTGAAACCTCACAGCCCACCCCTAGTGACACACCTCATCTAAACAAGGGCCACATTTTCTAATCCTTCCCAAAATAGCTATGCCAACTAGGGACCAAATAAAGGAGCCAAGGGGGCCATTCATATCCAAACCACCACACTATGTGTCATTGTATTGTTTTTTTTTTTAACTCACTCCTCATCCCATCCCCACATGCTGCCTTTGAATTGTCCCGGAACTACTCTTGTGCAGCGTGATTTAAACAAACGAAGACACCATCAAACAAGGGCTGGAGAAATGGCCCAGTAGTGAAGAGCACTTGTTGCTCTCACAGAGCATCCAAGCTTGGTTCCCCTGGACCCACATGGTGACTCACAACCATCCATAACTACAGGGGATCCAACATCCTCTTCTGACCTCTGTAGGCACCAGGCATACATGCAGTACACATACATACATGTAGACAAAGACATACACATAAATAAATTTTAAAAATTTAAAAAACAAGACAAAATTTGTCCTTGATCCTTGATTTGGCTGAACATATTCATCCTATGAGGTTGTTTTTGTTTTTGTTTTATTTGCTCCTTAGAATTGTTCATAGAGACTTTATTACCCTCAAGTTACAGT